GAATCATCAAGTTCATCTTCACATGCAAAAGAAGGAGCAGACGTTGAACCCGAAGTTGAACCGGAGCCTGAGGTCGAACCAGAGCCCGAATCTGAGCCTGAACCCGAGTCTGAATCGTCAAGTTCATCTTCACATGCAAAAGAAGGAGCAGACGTTGAACCCGATGTTGAACCGGAGTCTGAACCTGAATCTGAACCCGAATCAGAGCCACAACCCGAGTCAGAGCCAGAACCCGAGTCAGAGCCAGAACCCGAGTCAGAGCCAGAACCCGAGTCTGAACCGGAACCAGAGACAGAACCCGAATCCGAACCTGAGACTAACCCCGAACCCGGAAATGAGGTGGCAGCAAAGGGTCATTTTGAATCCATATTTCTCGTCACTGGAAATAATCCGAGCGACGAGGTGATGGTGGACGGCAACTACTGTATGATACCTCCTTGTACCACCACATGGAAAAAGGATTTCACTGGCAACAGTAACCTAGAAGTAATAGCTTAATTCTCTCAATTTTCACATTCATTATAGAAAACGACGAATGATCGGCGAAAATCTCAACTCGATCGATTACAATCCTGCCTCCTACATTAAACAAAAATTTTCAGGTAAAGTACGTCGCTCAATGCGACGGTTTTTACATGGCGTTCAGCGAAAGTTTTAAACCCTGTGATGCTGCCGATCTACCTGAAGATTCTTGGGACAGAGAAATATGGAGAATAATCTCTATAATACTAGCAGGTGGTCAGGATGTTTGTCCTATTGCAGCTGTACGTTATCTTCACGCTTCCTTCATACAATTCGACTCGCAATTCATAAACTTTTACTCACAGTCTTCCATCATTTTTTGATAGGGCAAGAAAAAATTCGACGAATCCAATTTCGATGGATTCAACTTCAAAATTGCAGTCCCGTCCACTTGTCAAAAATTCTACCTCAACGGCGCACTGCAGTATGACCAGTTGACTCCGATCGTACGATATACACTGACTATGACGTTGTCATAGCCAACGCAACAATGATTGGTAATTACCGTATAAATTACATCATTTTGCTGTCTTTATTTCGCTCTTTAAAATCTAATTTCATGCTGCAATCGGATTTTCTAAAATGTTGTAGTATTCTTTAAGGTGGCGGCATGAACATATTGCATGCGGTATCTTACAAAAATAATAAACAAATGGTACTATAAAGTTATCGAATATATATAAATTGGTTTTTATTTAATGCAATAAATAGAGCGCAATTTTCAAATCCAGTTTTTAATTCATTCGCTGCAATGTTTTCATCTTTCATTTTCTATAATAATAAAATATAATAAAAATAACAAAATATTGTAATAATTTTCTAATTATTTCAAACCGGAGGCCAAAAATCTACTCTTTGCGAAAATTTTTAGTGGACATCGTAAGTCTCTCATACAAGGACACCAAGTACCTTTTCCCTTGTTGAATAGTTGAATTTTTCTGTTTTTCTTTGTTTTTGTTCGGTTTTCCTTTAACTTCTGTTATTCAACTCATCGATTTCTGTCTTCAACCTTCAAACTTCAAGATTCAATACATCATCACCTAGCACATTACAAACTTAAGGACTTGCAGCATTCCTTTCATTTCATTTCCTTTTTCAACATAGTCAATTTAAAGGCACGTACTTGTCGCAGTTTCCTTTACAAAAACGGCGGTTTTTTTTTGTGATTTATTGATCATCTTTCTCGATAGTTATATCGAGAAGCTGTAGGTGGTTACACAAAGATAGTCAAGAAAAAACTGTGTCACTGAATAATCATACAGGAGGAAAGTCACGTGGGGATGAATGGCAGCCTTCCTATTTCCGTATACATGTCCATGAATATTGCATGGCCACTTAGATATGTTCGTCTTGGGGCTGGACGCCTCTGCATGCTCCCTTGCTATCTGTACAGTCGGGGTCTGTCGACATTCTCCGCTGACTTATCCATTTATTTTCCACTGATATTTGATTCTTCTGGTGCATCTTATCGATCTTTCAGGATGGATTCACCCGGCGAAATTCATATCAGGAAAAATAAATAAATATCTTAAATTGGTTCAATCTTTTTCGCGGTAACAATCGCAATTGCAAAGCAATTATTTATTTGCTGAAAACAATTATTTGGTTTTTAAACAATTAATTTTTTTGTACTTGATGATAAATTGGGTTCAAATTTGATAAAGAAACGACATTTTTTCTGATGCACCACTCGATGATGTCATCAGGCTAGAGAAATGATCATGAAATTGTGGGAAGCCCCTGTGACATGAAAAATTGTCGGATTTTTGTCCTTCCCCGTGGAATAAAAATAATCTAGAAAGAACTCGAGGCGGAAGTGTTTCAAGGTAGAAACAGGTGAATGGTGCCTTAAACATTGATGGATTGCCAGTCCAATATAACCAAGCAGACGATGGAGAACCGCAAAGCGATTGGATATCTCATGTTTCATCTCGACGCCGATGAAGATTGATCAGACACCATCGCACTAATACAAATATTATCGAATTATAGAATTGTACACCAGCGGCTGTGCTGCAGGTGTTCGAATTAACTTCAATGAATAATGAAATCAATAGGCAGATGGAGACTTCGCTACTACGTTCAAGTGCCATTGCCATTTGACAGGTGATGAGCATCTATTGATTTATAACCCGTGAGAATTACGCCGATAAAATCCAACAGCACAGTAAAACAATCCCTGGAGAGCATCCGTAATTACGGGTATACGAGTGTATTCCATTGAAAACTTTTCAGTTTATCGAGTTGCAATACGAAAAAAAAATGCTCGAGCTAAATAAATCTACAATTCCAACGACGCCATGCAGAATTTGAAATTTCGTATAAATATTTATATAAAAATCACCACAAATGTTGAACCACTTCGATTCCAAAATTTTAACACAAGAATAAGGGGAGTAATTAATCAATTTTTTATACTCCAAAAACATCTGTTAAACCTTTAAAAACGTATAGTTTTTGACAAAAATTTTGCGGAATTACGTTTCGATTTTTTTTACTGGTTGAAGAGGTAAATAAAGTGAAACAATGTCAGCAATCAAACCCTATCGGGTATCAAAGTGAATTCCCGATAAATGAACGTGAGAAGAAATAAATTAATTAACACAACACGGAAAAAAGATAGTGGAAGTGAATTTTTTTTTTGGACAAATAATTGAGTAAGAATGCAAGATAAAGGATAAACTGGTGGGGATTGAAACAAGTCAAATAACTCAGCGATTCTAATCCTCTCCTTTCAATTTATATCCCGCAAAAGTATGTTTACTCTGGTGCACCGTCTACACTGTCAAGGTCCCCCGCAAGAGCCACATTCGAGGGGGTAAATTATAGGCTGAATCCAATTAGTCTCGTAACGTTAGTGAGATAGAGGTTTGTGTTCCGGCCAAGTTTGGACCACCGGGCACGATATTGGCAAAGAGAATTCTCTCTTGATTTCCCTCTCTCACTCCCACATGATTCCCAACTAGTCCACTATTTCCCACACAAACGTTGACACACTCCCTGAATATACCGTTACCAACATTCAACGTATATCGAGTGCCTGCATACGTTTTCCAATTATTCAGACTCAACGAAAAGTTTCAGTGAGCCACTAATTGCAACCCAACGGCATCATCAAATGGTGGAAAAGGTGATGGGTAACAGAGAAACGAGAGAGACAAAAATTCGTCGATTAAAGGTAAATTGAATCAACTATTCGTCGCTGGTGGAATTGAATAAAACGTAAGTGTCTACCGAATTTGTGAATGCAATGAAACCGTTTCAGAAAGCGAGAATCATAATATTCTCCAACGTTCTCCACCGGATTACCATAAGAACGACTTGAACGTCTCGTTAGGTGGAAACGACACTTGGAGAGGAAGAAACTCGGGTATTTATTCGTGCACTTCTCGTGGCAAGAGTCTCGGATGATATGGGCTGCAACTATTTCAGTATAAACCGTCTTATCCCGCTCTCCTACTCCACACAACTGAAATATTTGGATAAACTCCAGACGTAATTGCATTATGGACTATTATCTCAAATTATGCACACCGTCACGCCATGTACCCCTCGACACATGAAAATTTCATATTTTTACGTATTTTACGAATATCGTCAATAATTGATAAACCGACTCACGAGTTTCACGAAATCCTCAAATAATTAAAAAAACAATATTTCAAAATTCTAATAAAACAATAGTTAAAAAATTTGCAAATGGGTGAAGCCAGAAGAAAAATGAAGAGACCAATGCGATCCAAAGATTCACGACAAAACCGGCTGAAAAATGCGAGCAAAACCAGAGCGTCTGCGATGAAGAGAGAGACCCAAAAAAAAAAGATGGAGTCGAAAGCAGGACGGTCCTTTAATTAGTCAAAGGTGTGAAGAAGTTGGTGCGAAAGTGTGCGCGTCGACGTGTGGGTCTGAGCATGCGTGAATGTGCGAATGGGGATGAACTAAAAAGAGAGATGAGAATGGTGGAATGGTTTTCTCATATGGATTGTATGTGGTAACCATAGAAGGATGAAAAAGACAGGGGAAATGGAAGAGAGAGGGCCTAACCAAAATATGCCCGATGGTATCCACATGGGTGCATACTGACGCCACCGTGAGTACGCCCAGACCGCACCTCTCCACCTCATTTTGCCATCTCTCTTTCACTCTTTTAACTCCAGAAAACAGAACCCTGGAACCGGTTCTCATTCTTGCTCTATTGAAATTCCTACCGCGTGCCACTATGCTACTTCATGCGCGGACCCAATGGCGTCCTTCTACCAGGGCACAACCATGCGCTCTTGTATAACAATCCAGATCTCTCTGCTATTTGCAAAAACAATGTTTTTCCAATTGAGGGGTCATGGACATGTTTCTATTTTAATTAATTAATAGTAGCAGTTAACACTGGGGATATGTGACTTTCTCGGATGGCAGAATGACTATCTAAAATAATAAACGTTATCTTGTAAATGATTGAATTATCAGATTCAATGGCAAATTGATGCTTCCGGGAATTTTTAAATTTCAATTATATAATTTTCATGATTTTATACTTGACATCAACTTCGAACGGCCGATACTCCCCACTGAACGGTGTTAATTTCTTTAACCCGCAGGATACACTGCTGCCTCTAGCTCAACGACTTGAAATTGGGATAATTTAACTTTACGATTCATTGACCCCGAATATTTGTCGTTTTATTTCCATTAAAAGTCACTTATCCCCTCCCTCGGGGGCATTTCCCCGAAAAATTCAACGGAAGAGACAATCACCGCGCAATGCGTTGACTTTTTTTTCAGCTCTATGAAGATTAATAAAAGTGACATAACAAAACCCAGGAAGAATCTTGAGGAGACAATTTTCAACCCCCACCCGTCAGACGACAAAGTTAGAAACGCAGTAGTAATCCTCGACTGGGGGTGGCACAGCTGAGGCAAGTGGAAATACTCAAAATACTCTGAGTGGAGGCTGTCACCGCACGTGGATATTTCCACGAGGACGAAAAATCCTTGACAGACAGCTTAAGAGGATAGAGAAGAGCGACAGGACTGGGATTTTTCGGGTGTGGGAGTTACTTCTGGAAACAAAAAGTTTCTTTTTTTTTCCAACTCCGTCGGGGGGATGGAAATAATTGTCCGGGGGAAAAAGTGACGACTTTTGTCGAGCTAATTGAAACTCTTCGTCCGTGTCACAGGGTGGACTGGATATCACGATGTCGGGGGTGGGTTGGCGCCGTGGACATACCGACGTTGTACGCTATTTCTTCTGGGTGAATGCTGTCTAATGGAATTCCTCGGTGCTATTTTTGGTGAGTCGGATTTTTCCGTCTAGCAAGAATTTTTCCGGTCCCTCACGAGATGACAGAACGAGTTTTGACGATGAAGAGTTTAATATTACATGATTGTTCTATGATTTAAATGATCTTAGATGATCCATCCATCAATGAAATTCTTGTTTTCCCAATTAAATTATCCCAAAAATAAACCAATAAATAAAGAAAGTTGAGGGAACATAGAGGAAAAAATTGGATAAATGAATCATCCAGGGTAATTATGGAGCGAGTTAATTCCGGGTTATAATCACCCTCTGGAGCAATATGAATGTAATTATTGGAACCTAATCAGATCCGGCGGGAAATAGCTCAACAGTAGAAATACGAATTGAAAAAAATCCTCACATCTCGGAAGTAAATGGATCCTGGGAGAAATATATATATATATATTTTTTTTTTTCTGAGAGCTCGTTT